GTCATTAACAAAATGGCGAATGACATTTTTTAACAACTTGGGCATTTTGTTGTATTACACTATGGTAAGTTTGTGTGTTTCACTTACATTCGTACTTAGAGTCCTGCGTGTGGTCGGGCTCGGCCAGCACGAAGCCGGGCGCGCCGGCCGCCGCGCGCACCTCGCTCATCTCGCTCACCACCCTACCGCCCGCACTTACTAAAATCTCCTGCGAAACGATAAGGCATTGCTTTTTTTTAGCTTAGTTTTACACAAAGACAAATTACACGCTTTTGACTTATAAGTAGAAAAAGTAACAAACATTGGAATTCGCCGAAACAGCGAAATGAGCCCAGAAACATTTGTTATTGCATTCAAATAGATTAATTCAGTAGGACAGAAATCACAGTATGTTTTTGGATTATACCTTTATCAATAAATTGACTACACTTACGACACGCTTTAGGCTTTATATATTTTCATATTATTAAACTTAAGGGGTGCATGATTTAAAAAAAATTGGTTGCAGGAAAGTTCCAAAATTACAAGCTACAATACCCACAAAGAATCGAGATTACTATGGTAATGGTATTTGTTAGCCAATGGCAATAAAGGTCTTCATTGTCATTTATACTTTTAAATTTTGTTATTTGCAAATGAATGTTTACGGAGTATAAACAGTAAAATATTTTTTATTTGTAATATGATGCGGATGAAGCAGGGGAACAGTTAGTTATAATGGTTATAAAGTGATATTGGTGAGATCATACGTTCAGCATGTGATGGTCCAGTAAGGAGATGTTGGGCATGCAGTAGAAGGCGATGCCAGTGAAGAGGCCGCGCTGGCCTAGCCGCGAGCGCCGCGGCCCCGGCGCACCCGTCATGTCCATACATTCGTAACCCTCCTATTATATTAAAAAAAAATCACTATAATTTACAAGCTGACAAAATATTAATTATGAAGTATCAAATAATATAGTAAATTAAAAAATAAAATGTATTTTTAAACAAACTTTCCGCATACCAAGATCCCACAGTTTCATAAAATAAATGAATTTGTATGAAATTTTTGAGGTTTTAGTCCCTTAATGGAATTCAAACCTTAGCAAATTTGATTTGATTTAAAATTTAGATTAAAATATAATAATTTATTTTGGTTACTTACCTCCGATACTATATTTCCGGTTTGTATGCATTTCTCTACCCATCCAAACCCAATTATCCATTTCCCTGCCGCCACAGCTCGCATATATTTTAATGATCTGTAAAAATAAATGTTACATTTTTTACATACACAAACAAAACGCAAAATAAAACTACCACAGAACAGGATTAAGAAAAAAAAATTTACATAGAAAATAGTTTGCAGAAAAATGGAGAAAAAACCAAGTAATAATTTTTTTGATATTCAAAAGTTTGAGCGAAATACGTAAACTGAAAATATTTACATGAAAAACTTAGTTTAGTACCTTTTACATTTATTTTCTTCATCCACTCCAATAACTAGGTGTGTTACACAGTCTGTGTATTCCTCTACAAAGCGCCAACCTCTGTCTCTACATAGCTGTCGCAATTCGTTGGTTTGTTTGTACAACAAGCATGATCCTGCCACGCAAAATGCGACCTTACGATTCCTCTCACGTAATACAGACGTAGACTTAAATTCCGGTGAACTTGCCTCTTGAAAAACTTCATTCATAAACTCTTTCTCTTGTGTTGTTTCTTCTTCCGTTAATGAATTACATAAAGTTTCCTCCGCATCTTGTTTGATAAATTTTTTGCTAAAATTAAGCGATTTTCTCGCTACTGGTGTAGATTTATGTTGTATTTGTTCTACAAATTTGTTTATAGTTGATGGTGTGATTATATCATTTTTAACTTTCTTTATATCGGTATTCTCTTGATTCTTTTTAAGTTTTTCCGTTAGACTTTTAGATGTGTAATCAATCTTTTTTATATTCGCTTTTTTAATAATATCTGCATCTGATTGTTCACTTATGTCGTTGAAATTAGAAGATATTCCCGATTTTTGCTTCACCTTTATGTTGGAAACATTTCTGTAAAATAGAAAATTATAATTTTAATTATAAATAATTTAAAAAAAATGTAAAAATTTTTATAGGAAACAAAAAAGTTTTAATACCAGCATTATTGAAATTTTAATTTGTATATACAAAACTATTTTAATGGTATAGAAGTGTTAATATAATATTCTTACTTTTGTGGTGTTTCCTCCACAATACTGACATCAGAATCATCATTCATAGGTGTTCCTAATTCTATGTTCTCATTTTCTATATTTTCTTCATCTGGAGTAATAAATTCTCGACGCAAATTAGATGTCAATGAGTTATTATGAGAAACATTTGTGACTTTTCTCTGTGGAAATAACATTTAAAATGAACATGAGATATTTCAGTAATTTAAAAAATATTATGATCCAATTGCTATCCATTCCATGCTTAGGATTAATCACTCTGAGTCCAATTTAGTTTTAATGTTTTAAATGTACTTACTTGTGTGTTTAATTTATTTGATTGAGTAATAGCATCATTATCACAATTTGAAAATAGATTTTCACTATCCTTTTGATTATCAAAATTATTGTGGTCATAATTTTGACTTTGTAAGACAACTTGAGTATTTTTAGTAGAATTTGCTTTATTAAAAGATTCGGTAGGTTTTCCGTTATTTTTAATTCCAATATCTGCATCAATATTAGCAAAAACTTTCTCCATAACAGTATCGTAGTTCGGACATTCACTATCTTCACAGGTCAGTTTTGTTCGATTTCGCAATGTTACATTTTCTGTATTGAGTTTTTGTTTTTTTTCCAAAGGTAGTTCATCAGAATCTGAACTTCTTAGCCTCTTATCCACTGGTGTATATGTTTTTGATTTATTCTGTGTCGGAACTAATATTGTTGATGGGACATTTTTAGATGCTTTTAATGACTTACTTAGACTTTTTGAAAATTCACTATCAAATATATCATTTATTCCTTCCATGTCTTCTGGAATAATCTCCCTTTGGGAACCCTGATTTTTTTTATCTCTTTGACTTTGTATAGTATTTTGTCTATTTTCATCTTCAACATTTTGTATATCAGGTAATTCTTTTTCACAGCTAGCTGTTATTTCAAACTGTGCAGTTCTTGTATCAGCAGAAGCAGTGTTTTTCTTTGCTGAATCAGAATTAATATATTTATGACTTTGTAATTCAGCATTCTTCAATAATAGAGTTTTATTTTGAAAAGTTGAATTAATTGAATTAAATTGTGTTGATTTGTCTTCAGTTATTATTACATTATTGTGGATATTTTCAGTATTTTTTGGTCTTGAAGATTTTTGTATGTCTTTATCTATATGGATTTTTACTTGAGGATCACTATCATCTTGGCTTATACAAACATTTGTTGTGACTTTGCCAACTCTAATTGTTATTAAGACATCATCTGATCTTTTTGTTTGATGTTGATTAATTGTATGAGGTGTTTGAGGCTTAACATGTAATGCTCCTTTCTTTAAAAATTTTACTTTAGGTGACATAATTTCTTCATTATCACAAGGATTTCCACTATCAAGGGAAGTGTTATTTTTGTTGTTTGAAAGACTTTGATGTATTGAGTCACATTCATTTGTTTTGTCTATGCTTTTTTCAGTGTCTTGATTATTTGATATGATAGAATCTGGATTCGCAAAATTTGGAGCGATCACACTTTTTTTTTGATTACTTTCCTTATTGGATTCATTAGCTGTAGTGTTTTTAACTATGTTGGTGGTAAGGTTTTCTTTTTCAAATTTTGTTTTACTGCATGGCACTTGAGGTATTTTAACTGTTTCAATTGATACATTTAGTTTATTTCTATTTTCTTTATTTAACCTACTAAACTCTTGTCTCATTTTCTTGGCTTGATTCCATGTTTGTTTCATTTTAGTCGTTTGTTTTGGTACTGATTTGATTGATTTTATTGATTCTGCCTTTTCATTTTGAATTTCATCAAATTCATTGTTGATGCTTATTTCTTTTTTCCGTGTACTTCTGCGTGGATTTACTGATGTATATTCAATTTCCTCTACATCCATTATTTCTGTGCCTATTGGTTCTGTAACATTCTCTTTGTGTTTGATACAGTCTTCAGCATCCTCTAATATTTCTATTTTGTCCCAATCATCTTGAATACTCTGGACAGAGTCTTTCTTAGTTTGATGGGTTAGTTTAACATTTGATGTATGAATTTGTGCTTCGCTTGTTAAATATTCAACATCTGGGTTTAAATCTTGTGTGGAGAGGCTACTGACAGGGGCTGAAAATTTGTTTTGAGAATCCTCCAACCAATCTGAGACATTTTCCAACTCAGCCACTGGAACAGTTCGAATGTGAAAAATTTGAGTATACTGAATATGACAGTAAAATAAGAAATCGGAGTATAAAAAAATGTTACAAAAAAGTCTACTTACATTTAATATTCATTAAGTTTTCAAAACATTGAATAAGAGTTTGAACATGAGAAGTAAGGCTTTGTAAGGGGAGATTTAACTTATAAATTTTCTTATCAACTGTTAGAGCACATACAGGACAATTCTTTCTTCCATACCAACAGCCCTTGCACAGCGTATGTCCACACTCTGCAGTCACAGGAACAGAATAAAATTTACAACTGAAAGTAAAAGCAGTAAAACTGTTACAAAATAATACATGTATAATATGGTTGTTAATCGAAAGAGCATGGCATGATGTGAAACTAAAAATTTCATATTTTAAATACTCCCTATTTAAAATACGAATGGGGTAGGATTTATACTCGTAAGGATGAAAATGTAATACCGGCGGTTTCTTTCTCAGAGGTGTAGTCTAAACTCCAAAGAATATTTGTGGATAAATATAATCTTTATTACTTACCACTCGATACAGTTTACTTGTTCAAGTTGTTGTGTTAAAAGCTTTGCAAGCAAATTTATATTAAAATCCTTTAATATCATTTTTACCGCGAAAGACACTTTTATCAAAATTGACAATATGACAAAAACAAGTTCACCATAGATAACAGAAAAATTAGTCAATTTTCGGTCTACTTACTGTTTTTTTTTTTTTGTTTTTAGTAAAGAGCATAATAAAAGCAGAGAACGTAAACCTTATATTTCATCTTATTACATCTATCAAATTTTAGTAATATTTGAAATATTTTCCCTAAAGTAGATGGGATCACAAATAACAATAAAATAATATTCGCATCGGGTAACTTATCTCAAATACATAGTCTGTGATTTTTGGTGACATATGACATTTTAGAGCCAATAAGATCTTGCCTTGAAATAAAAATTAGGGTTGGCTTAAACAATTTAAATACTTGCATTTGTTAAATTTACATTGATCCAAGTAAGTAACACGTTAAGTTGTAAAAATATTTATTTAATTTTCCTCCATACGATACAATAAATTTGTTTCTTAATTTTTTGTTTAATATTACATAATCTCTACTTGTGCTGCCGAAAATCATATTATTGTATATTGGTTCTGGTTGCTTCTTAAAATATGTTGCAAATGTTGAATACTCTGCAATTTGTCTCTGCACATAACCATACATACAGTTTTATTGTATGGTAGTTTTTTTTTTAGTTAAAACAGATAAGGTTATAAAATCAGTAGTACTGGAGCTTATATTCAACAACCATCAAGTTTATATTTTTCCAGACAATTATATAGTTACGTTTTACTTGTTTGTAAAAGTTCGGTCGATAATATTTGATAGGTTAATTCTCTAGATCTGATAGTTAAAAGAAGGTACTTAAGATAAAAAAATTAGGCTGTTAAAATTCATGTAATGAAATAACATTATCACCATATTGATTTTAGATCTCAGAGTAAAATATAATATATTTAGATTTTTAATGTCAATGTTACATTAATATTTCTTCAGAATGGCGATGGCATTCCGCAATATGCTGAGAACTGCAGCAAGAAGGATGCAAGTCCGAGGCTATGCTGATGCGCCGCGGGGAGATGAAATGGCTTTAACGTTTGCTGCTGGTAATAAGGTAAAAATTTTTTTTAATTATTCATCAACTAATTGGCTGATATTCAAGATTTTTTATGTTTATCAGGTTAATGTCCCTTATTTAGTGGCTTTTATGGTTGTTTCATTTACATTTGCTGGGGTTAAAAATATATGTATTGTAATTTGTCTTCTTGGCATTCAAATTTTGGCCTAAATTATTAAAAAAATGTATTAAAACTTCAGAACAAAAATTTACCTAAAGCCAAATAACGTAATATTTGTATACCCTAATGCATGTGAGATATCTCTATATTAACATGATAAATTATTACTAAGTATGCTATGTTTATAATTCATTTTTTATTTCATGTGGACAAAGTCACAAGCAACAGTTATTTTTATGTTTATTATTTCCAGGTGTTCTATGACAAGCAAGTAGTCAAACAGATTGATGTGCCATCCTTCAGTGGTTCTTTTGGTATTCTACCCAAGCATGTACCCACCCTAGGTAAGGATTATCTCTTAACACTGATCTAATATATCTTCTTAACAATTTCAGTGCACATTCACATTAATAGTTCACTTTGAAACAAGACAAAATGTATTAGCATGGAATATTTTAACTTCTTATATTCTTAAAGAGATTGATACAAATCAAATCTTACTAATATTGAATATGTGAAAGTTTAAAAAGATGGATGGATGTTTATTAGAGTTTGTAGCCTAAACGGCTGAACGGATCATGATGAAATTTGGGATATGTAGGATAGTCTAGAAGAATACATGGTTTACTTGCTTTTTGACCGACTTCTCAAAATGAGGTACTCTATTCATCTGTATGTTTTTTTTAATGTAGTTACAAACTTGCTTTCACAAGTTAAATATAAGTTAAATTCTCTGTATGTTTCTTACTGTTACTTAGTAACTTCATAGAGCAATATTTTCATAATACATCAGAAAAACTAATCCATGCAGCATAATATAATTTATACTGAAGTATATGTAATCTTAGTTTCTGGTTCTTCCAGCTGTGTTGAGACCCGGTGTGGTCACAGTTGTCGAAAACGACGGCAAGCAGACTAAAATATTTGTATCGTCTGGTACGATCACCGTCAATGATGACTCCTCAGTACAAGTAAGTTGTAGAAGTACTAAAATTAACAAGAGTTGACATAAATATTTATTTTTGCAATTAAATGCTACAAATGTAAATAAATAAAACAATATATCTGTATCTATAGTTCTAAATTAATATAATATAGAGGAAAGATTTGTATTTTTGTATGTGTTTAAATAACTCAAAAACTGCTGGACCGATTTCAAAATGCTTTCCCTATCAAAAAGCTATGTTATCATTACATTTATTTTTTTACATAATATTTTACATTATTATATTATAAACATTTTTACATATTTGATTACATAGGATATTTTTTTTATTTATAAATTCCAAGCTATTGTAAATAAGACAAAAGCCTTCTTATTCAGGTCCTGGCCGAGGAGGCTCATCCATTGGAGAGTTTGGACCGTAGCGCCGCACAGGAGGCCCTCAGCAAAGCCCAGTCTGAACTTAACTCTGCTGCTAATGAAAAGGTAATCTAATTAAAAATATTCATTTTATACCAGGAGACCTAGGACATGAATCATTTGGTTTTATCTCCGCTTTTTATAACTTACTGATACCTTATTTTCTCTATGAGGCGAGTTTGTATTGTATGTGGAAGGTATTGTTGATGGAAAAAGTTGAAATTAAATGATTTCCTATGATTTTTTATAATTATTTATGGATTGCGAGTTTTCCCCTGACTGTCTGCTTGGAATTCAAAAAATCTTATTAATCCGTGACAAATTTCATCTGGATCCATTTAGCCATTCTAGATATCTAACATCCATCCATCCATATAAACTTACGTTAATGACATTAAAAAGTTTGGAGTAATCATAAAAGGTAGATGGCATAAAATATGTTTACTTACATAAAACCCTTAAATGCATTTATACATTAGTCTTTTCTTCCTTACTAGACTATTTAAAAAAAAACTCCCTTGATCTATGTTCAATTTACTACCCGTTTCAATTTATTTATTTGTATTTTTACGTAAAAGCTAATTCTTTTTTGCCAGGCAAAGGCTGAAGCTCAAATTGCAGTAGAGGTGGCGGAGGAGGTTGTGAAAGCTGCCAGCGCATAGTCACCAGTCACCAGTCAGTGTTAGTGCTAAACTATTTAATGTTAAACCATAAATAAACGACAAGTTCCATAGTCTTCGTTGTTTCATTTTACCAATTTCCATTAACATAAATTAAAAAAATAAGTAATTTAAAAATATTACCACCAAGAGTAATATGGAAAGAGATGTTACATTATAATCTAACCAATATACAAATCATACTAATAATGCAAAAGTTTAGATGGATGGATGTTGAGTCACAGCTGAACGGATTTAGTTGAAATTTGGTTCAGATGTCTTTTTTTCCTCTATTCTCTAATAGAGGAACAAAAAGGCTACTCTCTTTTGTTTTTTTTTTTTAATTCCATGCGTACTGAGTCGCGGGCGAATGCTAGTCCAGCCATAATTGCTGACCCATCGTCAGGAACTTATTTCAATACCGATTTTTAGTCATTAAACGGAGTCGAACCCTTGACTTCTCAAAGCAACAGGAAGAAAGCGTTAATTTTAATTCTAAACTACCTCAGTTCTTTTAAGTTGTCTTAAAAATATTAATTAGATATTTAGGTTATAAAAGGAAACAATAATTTGTAGTCGACGTAAGAATACTTTATTTAACACAAATCAAACACTTTGGTACAAACAGTTAGTTGCGTAAGCAATGTCTAATCGAAAAATTTTAATTATTAAAATTGAACTTATCTTAGAACAGCCGGTGAAATGCAAAAAACAGGCAAAATTGTAACCAACCCCATCAAAAACATCGCCGATAAGTATCATTTTACCTTAATATATCGATCGAACAGCTAATATTATAATTTTGAATAGAATTCATATTAAATTTTTAACTAGCCTTGTTTTATCCGAAATATCTAAATGGAAGTTTGGAGATGAGCAAGCGGGTAGGAAGTATGGGGAACCTATCTACGCTACGTTGCCAAGCTGACACAATGCACAACACATAGGGTACAACTAGAAAATGACACGCTCGTGTCTTAAACCTAATTTATTTGCATATAATATAGAAAGAGAAGATTATAATTATCGATAAAAATGCACCTTAATTTATAATGTTGAGTAATGTTCGAATAATTTCATATCAGTTAGTTTTGAGTACCAATTGCATTTTGAGTATATTTGCCGGTTATCATATGTATTCTTTAGTACTTTATTGTTTAAGGAGTAACGTGTAACATGTCTTAAGTCGTTAGCTACAGATTATATAGTACTTTATTTGAAGAATTGATTAATTATGATTAATAATTACTTAACTCTAAACCTTAATAAAGTAGTGTACGTAATGTTGACGTAAAAACATAAAAAAACGTTAAAAAAATCATGTAGGACATGCCGATAACGTAAATGGTAAAAGCATTACGAAAACTATAACAGCAAAAAGGAAGCATCGAGACGACTCGCGGTCGCCGGGTCATTAAAAACTACGAGTACACAAATATAAATATTGTTTGTGTTAGTTCACTTCAATTAAAAAATAAAATAGGTAAAAAATACGAAATATCACATTAATTACGTGTTGAGCTTAATTTAAATTGAAACTTAAAACCACCCCAAACACCAGCTTCGTCAAAGTTTTAAATTAAGCTGAACAAATAAGACAAAAATTAATCGAAATAAAAAAATGACTTAATTTGTAGATAACTCTCGAACGTGGCAAAGTTGGAAGCGCACAAACATTTTTGGAAAGACGTCACTTTTTTCTAAAGGGAATATATCAATTTGAAATAACTACCACAACCATAATTCCGTTTTTGAATGGTAACACTACGCGCAAAGTGACGTCAGACTCCAATCAAGATGGCTACCTGTTACGCCAACTTTGCCAAATCTCCAAGCGAGTCGATGTTGCCGTGAGAATCAACGTGAAATGGCACAAACATGCCACAATGTAAACAGTAAAAATAATCCAGCAACTAAGTTGGGATAAATTTAAAACGAATGAAAGAAAAAATGCGACACACTTATTCGGGGGACTAAAAAAATGTAATGTCAAAATCACCATCTCTCTAGCTACGAATGCAAATTATACAGTTAAGCGTACATTATGGGCTGATAAAATAAATCGCTTTAAAATAGTTGGAAGCTGTGGGAATGCGTAGTAGTGAGATGGTGTGATTTGCTTAAATTAATAGCAATGTGTCGCAGGTGTAGCCAGTTGCGCAGGTTTACAGGTTACACTGCCACAGTATCGTAGGCTGTGAGTCCCCCTCGCCCGTGGACTGCTTGCTGGGGGATTGGGGTGTTTGCTTCTGGTCTGGAAGTATTATAAAAACAATATTAAAAAAACTAAAAAAGTGGTAAAATATGGTGACTTGGCTACTTTTTTTTTAGAATTTTAAATTGATTTTTTATAGCATATTTTTTTATTTGTGAATGCTATTATATTGATAAATTGAATACTAAATACATTTAAATTGCTTATATTAATTGGGTTGGTTGGTATATTTTTTATTTACTGATAAAGGTTGGAACTAATTGCAAAGGCTTTACAAAAAAAAGCATATTTTTTATTTAATAAACTCTAATGAAAATGATTACATTGGTTATACAGTTGTAAAATAAGGTAAGTAGCACAATTTTGTATCGTGGGTTTCAGAATTGGTTAGCAAAAGAAACAAGTTGAGTGCACAAGGTATGGGTGAAGGTGGTTAGCCACAAAATTATAACGATAAAAATGATCAGGCAAAAACAATCAACATTCAGGCGAATAATTATTTTCTGTTGACATACTTTGACTTACTGTTTCCTGTGGACGACGGATGCAGAACATATACACATGCTTAATATGCGTATATATGTACATACACAAAAATCAATACAATTAAAACTAGAACTATCCGGCTCACACACAAGGAGTCGGCTAAATTTGTGTGCAAAAATGTGTTCCTTGTAATCAGTGCAAAGAGCATATTAAAAGTCAAAATTTACTTTAATCATGTCTTCTTTCGATATCGTTAAGAAATCTAAAAAAAAACTTTACATACAAATATATTTTACATTTAGTTTTGTGTGTCATCTAAATTCGTTACTACAATAAGACTATGAAAACATTCACTACATTATTAATTTTCCACTCCATTTCATAAACTCCATAAGTACACAGTACTTTTAAAGACGACAAATGTGTTCTCAGCATTGTTAAAATGTGTTTCTAAAATTGGTTGTTATAAAAATTAATTATTCATAACTAAGAGCATCACAGAGTAAAAATGTTAGTCGAGTGTCGACACTGTACGTGTAAAGGCCTGGACAACTGACCTGTCAATGAGTTTTCTCATTTCCTCGCTGTGCAAGCCGTCCTTGGCAGTGTGGGCCCTGACTGCAACAACATACAAGTCACGACGCGCTCTACACTAGTCACCTCACCCGGCACCCGCTACATTGATATTTCGGGCAACACCCATATCGTTTCAAAACATGTAGTCTAAAATCTATTCTACCTTGGGTGTTACCTGAATATATCTAAAACACATACTATGTCTACGACCATTTCAAATAGATGTTAACACGTTCACGTCTAAGCCAAAAATTTTATGAAAGTTTCGATGAAAAGATAAAATTAGTACATCATTACTTGGCAAAGATTAAATAACTCGATCTTTTATGTTTTTTAAATTTAAATGTTTTAAATGAATCACAAATTTTGCCAAGTGATAAATGTAAAAATACAAAAAGAAGTAATGAAGGAAAAATTTTGAAAAAAAGGGTAGTTAAGCCAATTGCAAGAAATTCTATAAGCTGGTAACATTTTCGATTTGTTATTACTGAAACAAATGTTGCATGCTGTAAGTCACAATAATTAGAAACAATCAAGAACTAATTGAGTTAAAATCTTTTACCGTCTTCTGTTCAGGCGACGCCCAAGAGCGCATGGCATGGACCAATTTTTTATATTAATTTAATTGAAAAAAAAAATCTTAACATTTTTAAACCAAATTGGTCAAATTAACACATATAATACATATTTGATGTTAGCATTCAACCAATTATTATTGATCTCGTAATTGAACTTGTAGTTGAGTTTTATTCAAAGTGTGGAGGACCACGTGTGTACCGATGTGGTCCTGTCTGGCGGCGGTGTCACGTACCAGGGTAGTTGCGGGGCTGGTCGCACTCGGCCTCGGAGATCTCGTTGGAGTCCTTGCTCTCGTTGAAGGAGGAGGAGCAGTTGTTGTCGGTGTTGGCGTTGCGGGGCGGGGGCGGGGGAGGCTCGGGGGAGCTGCCGCATTTGCGAGTTCCTATACATATTACATTTTATTAATCAAGAAGCAGTTCCCGTGTGGATTCTTCCGTATGTCATTAGAAAACATTATTTTGTTGTTTATATTTGTACATGAAGATTTACAAAAGGACAAACTACAACGACGGCCTTTGACCTTGAATAATAATTACCGTTACGGTGGCAATCTTGACAATGACTTGTAGTTTCTGTCCCTTTCTTGCATGATGGTTTTTTACAAATGAATTACTCCCTAAGTTTAATGGCGTGAAAGTATATAGTCTAAAGAGTGTTTTAAGTGTAGGGCTTTTTCTAAAAAAGAGATATTTCAAAAATATATTGTAATTGCATCCTACATAATTAAGTAGTGTGTTTACGCTTTATAATATTGGTGTAGGTTCTTGCAGAACATTAAGGTGGAAGTTAGTAGTAGCTGGCATGTGTATTCCTTTATGGTCCTGTTCTTTGAACATTGACTATAAGACACAGTATAGTGTCTGGGAAGGTAGGAGAGTGGTGTCTCACCAATGCTGGGTCGGGAGCCGTAGTGGTCGGAGTAGGGCGTGCCGTAAGCGCCGGTGTACTGCTCGTCCTCGGGCTGGCAGCAGGCGGGCTC